TTTCTGCCATTCTTCTCTGCAGATCCTCTAAGGCTCTGTCAGGCTGGATGAGGACCGTTGGTGGACAGCCATTTTTGGGTCTCTCCAAAGATGTTCAATTGGGTTCAACTCAGGCCTCTGGCTATGCCACTAACGGATATTCACAGAGTTGTTCCTAAGCCACCTCTACATTGTCTTGGCTGTGTGCTTAAGGTCATTGTCCAGTTGGAAGGCGAGTTTTCAGTCCTGAGTGCTCTGGCTCAGGTCTCCATTCAGCTTTCCTGCAAGCCTGACAAGACTCCCTGTCCCTGCTGCTGAAAAACTGCCACCACCATGCTTCACCGTTGGGATGATACTGGACAGATGATGAGCAGGGCCTGGTTTCCACCAGACTTGATGCTTCGAAGTGAGGCCAAAGAGTTCAATCTTGGTTTCTTCAGACCAGATAATCTTGTTTGCTATATAAGGTCTGAGACCTTATATAGACAGGTGTGTGCCTTTCCAAATCATGTCCAGTAAACTGATTCAATTTACCGAAGGTGGACTCCAATCAAGTTGTAGAAACATCTCAAAGATGATCAATGTGTACGGTATGCTCTTACACATACAGTATACACACAGCAAGAACACAGACCATTTTGTAAAATAGGATAGGAATTGATGTGTGTGAATGAGATGAGGATGGGAAGGGAAGCAACTAAGGCCAATGTCAGTCTACCAACACTGGCAGTCTAGTCACAGAGTCTGGGTCATGTTTATGCCCTCAGGACCCTGATGTGATGAGCAGCTTACAACTAACACAGTCTGCAATATCAAAACAAATACACTTACATGCACTTGATGCATGCACGAATACACACACATCTACTATCTGCATTAGTCACTCTCAGGCCGGGATAAAACTGTCTGGGCTTAGGGTATTAATGGAGCTAAAATTGTCCATCATCAGATGAACTGACATGCTGTAAGTTATTCTGCCTGCAGAAAAAAGTAGCAGCAGATCCAAAATGGTTTTGATTAGAGCTATAGCCTAGTTTAGAACAGTAGCCCGTAGGCTTTAAAGGCCGGACTGCAGCAATTTAATTCCTTAATCTGTGTAATAAATATAAAAACTCCCACAGGCTATGCTATCTGCTTGGCTCGCTGGATCAATATGAGGCTACACCATTAAGCTATTAGACCTGGATAGACTATTGGCAGCAGTGTATTGGCCAAATCTGCAGCATGACATAATTTAGCCTAAAGTTGGTCTAATTCGTAAATACAGCATTGACATTTGTTTTTATAACTGTCACTTAAGCCTACATCAAAACGTGTATTATAATCACTATTAATGGTGAATGATACATTTAAAGTCTGGAAAACTCTTGCTGAAATTAACACTGTAAATGCTTGTATGCATGTATTTACATAATTTGACTGTTAACTGGTAAGTTTCTATACTGACATTTTTAACGGGTCGATTCATGAATAACCATTATAATATCCATGAGCAACATGTAGGTCTACTTGTAGGTCCACGTCACCACAAGGTTGATTTCAATTCAGACATTATTCCCTCTAAGGTCTGCTTTATAAACTAAACCAAACACTGGTCACAACATCAACAGCATTGACATCAACAGCATTGACATCAACATGACACAATATACAGATTTGACACCACTGTCAAACTGCTCTAAATGCTTGCACAAGAGCCTCATTTTCCAATACAATTACATCTGTGTTCAATAAAGAGTTTACCATCATGACAACATGATTCATTGTTGCAATAAATCCTGCAGATTGCCATGGCATGACATTAAACCCTTCTGAGGCTTGGCTAGGACTGGGAGTATCAGTTGTCCTTTGTAGCTATGCCATCAAGTTATCCCCTAGTATGACACAAAGCTGGGTAGTAGGGAGGTGGCCTGTCACCAGTGGCTAGGTCAGCATTTTGCAGAACGCAGTGCGTGTGTGTGCATGTTGTCGTAAGGAGGGGCTACATGCAGGGAGCTCACGGTAGAAGAAATATACAGCCAATTAACAGGTTCATTAATACAAAAAAGCTGACCACCCTTACGAAAAATAAGTCATTCCGTCCAAGGAAACCCAAGTAAATAGACAATTTCCTGACAACAAACATGTATCTTTTCCTTTTCTAAACAGAATTAATTTGTCAGTGACATAACACATTAACCATAGTTTAAGTTGCTTTGGCAATCAAGGAAAGTGGTTCAAATGGGGTTGGTTAGTGCTGGTCAGATTAGAGGCAATTGAGAAGGCAGAAAGACAGACAAACAGATGCTGAAAGGAAGGTAGCAGCAGGGATTAGGTTCAGGTTGTAAAATCAGTAGCAAGGTGTAGCCAGGAAGCTCTTGAACACTATTTTTGAACATTAGGGCCCTAAAGCTTATAGGCAGTTTTGCACAACTCTCTCTCTCTCACACACATACACACACACATACACAGCTATCAGGGGGGGGCAGCTGTGAAGAGAGCAGCTGTTGTAATGCATGTTCACATGAATGAATGCAAAGACCCCCCACACACACACACACACACACACACACACACACACACACACACACACACACCAATAAACAAGTGCTTCAAACTAAATATGAGGGCATGTGAGGCTACAAATGCAAGGCAGAGACAAGGGCGGTTGTTTGAGCAACGAGGTAAATCTAACCTACAAAAATGAGTGTTCATTGTAGCGGTCATAGATATGTCATACACAACAGTGTGGGTAACATGCTATGTTTGCATGACAAGTGAACTTTCAATGTTTCTTCTTTACAACTTCACATTGCATCGGGCTAATATTCCAGTTTAGGATTGTTTTCAAATAAATTTGCTCATGTAAATTCCCTTAGCGTTAGTGACTATATCATTTGACAAGTGTGAAGGAGAAGTGCGACTATAAAAGCGTGGTAATTATCTATAAACATTCATCCAATAACTTATTTTTTCAAGTTTTTGATTCATAAATCTACGTGTATTTTTAAAACTAATGGCAGGTACCGTCAAAACGACTGGCTGGTAGCTGACGCGTTAGCTGAATCAGCTTAGCAACAACTTGTCGTTTAGCAAAAGTTAGCTAGGCTAGCTAACGTTGTAGCTAAGCTAGCAACGCTAGCCAGCTACACAAACTAAAAACGCCGCAGTCGTGTGCTAACAATGACACAAAAATTGAAATATCACAATGATACTGTATGTTAGTTCATTAAGTGAATGCTGAATGTTTAATAATAGCCAGCCATGAAGTGAGTCAAAATCGCCAGCTCGTTAGCCAGGCTAAGCTAACGTGGTAAGAAGTCTGTCCCGGTCACGAAAATCAAAACAAACGTCTCTCCAAGTGGTGAGGCGACATAAATCTGACACTCACATCTTTCACTGCAGCAAACATACTGTTCGCCCTCACATATGGCCTTGGTCAAATAAACATACATACTCATTAGCTATATTTGGTACATTAACGTTTAGCAGCTATTAGCTAAGGATATTTCCCGTTGTGATAACGCCTATTTTCACTGTTTATTTTGGGCCTAAGCGACGCTTGGAAGCCCTGGCCGTTTTCCTGCTCTGCGGACCCGCTGACAGTGACAGCAGCCTCGGCCCTGTTGTCCCACCATATCGCCCTTTCGACGTATTGTTCCAGTACAGTTGTCTATTTTGATTTATTTCCCTCCTCCCTACCTGGCGCACTGCAGTCGGCGCAGACTTCTGTCCTTTGTAGCTTTCTTGACATCTCGAAAAGTGGCTGAAATCGAGAGGTTGATGTCGGCGATGATGTGGTTGCTCGCCCTTTTCCCCCGAGCTACCGACCGACGTCTGCCGTCAACCGATGCGGCCCCTGAATCCCCGGAAGCCGGGTGGTGTGATCGGCTTTCCCGGCCAGCTGACAGTTGAATTTCCCGTTTGTTCCTGCGGTCTCTTCGCCCACGTTCACTACTGAACTCCAAGTCTAGTGGCAAGTTCTGTGAACATAGTTAATGTGACTGTTTGTGTGAACCCTCATATCGGAATATTTACTAAATCTGTTCTCCGCATTGCTTGCAACTCACCGAGGGACGGCAGCTTTCTACCTGTCAGTTTCCGCACACACGCCCAACATCCCTGCAGCCTACCTATAGAGGGGCAGGGAGGGGTGAGGGGGCAAAAAATAATCTTGTCATTCATTGAAAGGTGAGATGAATTTCACAGACACATCAAAACAGAATAGTAAGTACAGAAAGTTAATTCACTAATATGTGTAATATTCACTGACCAAAATGTTGGTAGACATTTCTAAGCATAATTTAGACAACCTATAGACTCATTCCTACACTTATTATCTTGAAACACAATTATAATTATTTAATGTTAATATTTACTGCAGATATTCTACATCTCTGAAATTATGCCTTGTCATTAAACCGGCAAACTAGCCACAGATTAGAGTACATGGTCCCTTTTTCCCCTTTGACATTTATTATTATCATTATCATTATTACCTACAGTAAACAGACAAACAACCATTCACCTAAACCTGGACATTCAAAGAAAAAATTGATTTACATAAAATAAAATAAATTATAAATAGCAATAACATTGTGTCATAAATAAAACTGAAGGACATAGAACAAAAGCAATAAATGTTTTAAACTTTAATTTATTGATGCATTTAATTATGTAGTGGTTTTTTTTTTTGTTTGTTTTTTTTGTTTTTTTTTACCTCTACAGTATATCACTGCTTCCTGCGGGGGGTTATGGCATGTAGTTTTCTTTTAAACATTCGTATATGATTTCTGTGGTGCTCTTCATGAGGCAGCATGACAGCGGATTGGCTGAGTGTGCGCACATTTCATTGCAGCTTGTCAACGCATCTTTTCTCAGTCACCACCGGATGGGAGGAGAGGAGGAGGATAGATGTGTTAGAGTAGGCAGGGGAGAAAGAGAGGGGGAGGCAAGAGGTGGAGGAGCGGTTGGTTAAGAAATAAAGGTGTAGCCTAATCTACCGAGACAATCAAACGAGGGGGTTCTTTCTATAAATGATTTTCAAGGGGCTTTGCCGTTCATTCTAAGCAGGGCGAGCAGGGAATCATTTACTGTTCCTGACGCGTAAGGCTGCCCCTATACGCCTTTGGTCATCACCGCCGATAAAGGATGATAGACTTGATTATATAGCGCAAATTATTAACAAAAGTATCCTTACAATCCACAGTGAAGAAAGAGGACAAGACAAACTATGATCCGAGGATGATTTCTGCTAAGAAAACTCCGGAGAAGAGTCGTTATCCTATCCACTATTTGGTGTGGCACAACAAACACCGACAGCTGGAGAAAGAGCTGGCAACGAACGAGCAGGTGAGACAGAGAGGAGCTATCAAACACATTTCCCCTCATAGATGTAGGCCTGTGTCTTTATTATAAGCGATTGTATGGGCGTATGGGTCCCTATATAGGTGGTGTTGTAGATGCCATCAATGTACCACTTCATGTAGGAGTCTGGTTAATAAATTGGAATAGCGCAGTTAATTGTTAAATGTAGGGTGGGGGGAGACACTTGTAGACCATGACATGAGATTTGAATTCAGACTATTTTCATATTGTAAGTCATTTTTAAATCACAACTGCCAATGATCTGTGTTATTTGCTGCACTGGGGCTTAAAATATTCATCCTCCCTGTAATATTAATATGCATGGGAAGTTGTATCAGGAGTTTATTCCTGGAAAAATTCCAAATGCAAATGACTGTTTTTGTGTGTGATTGTATTGCAGTGTGTGTGTATATATATCTATGAGTGGAGTGTGCGTGTGTTTGTCAGAGTCAGTGGTGCTTTATGCCTGTGTGTAAGCAGCATTATTGCGTGATCTACTCAAAACTGTAGGCTGTCTACCTTCCCACCTGCACCTAAACCATTTGTGAGTGGGTGAGACAATGCGGATACTAAGCATGTGTGTGAGCAGTTGCCAACCACCACAGTAAATACAGTAATGGAATCATTAAGGTAATGTATTAGGCTTCCAGAGGAGGTGTTTGTCATAATCAAAAGAATGCAGAATTATTTTCACCTACTGGTAAAATTAGAGCACTTCAGCTCATGGTGAGGGACTCGATTATAAGAAGATAAGAATTACACTGTTGTGTGTGTGTGTGTGTGTGTGTGTGTGTGTGTGTGTGTGTGTGTAAGAAATAGAGTGACTTTGCAAGAGCATGTATGCGTGTGAATTCAATCATTTTTCTTTTTTTTCTTTTTTTTATAAATGTACTGAGGCGCTTTGCCATTACATAAGAGATGCTCTGCAGGTTAGCAACTAAACAGATTTTTGAGTGCTTGCATCATGCAGCGGTCTCAAGACATCACACTTCCACACACATTTATGTACACTTGATGGCACATGAACACTATTACCTTCTTGTGGTTGTAAAATGATAACAGAGGAAGCCTTTTCTATACACCAAAATGGTCACTAAGTGTCCCAAAGGCAGCCATCAATTGGTTTACCACAATCCCTGTAAGTTACAGTAAGGGAGTGTGGTAGTGACATTTAATGTTTAACCTTTGACCATAATTATAACTGTTGGGAAATAAATGGCAAAACTGATCACACCTCACAGTGAAGAGGCTCAAAGAACGAAGTAAGACCTTTGGTATTCAAGTCACTGTCAGAGGTAACATACTCTATTTCATAGAGAGAGGAGCTGGAAATGAACCATGTATGCTGTAGAGGCAGAGGAGACAGCAAAACCTTTTCAAACCCTTGTAGCTTTGCCAGTGTTGAATATTCATTTTCATTCCCTTCCTGCCCATCACTGAAATAAAAAGAACAGATGACTTTTCATGGGTTCTTTGGTTTAGAATTCATTATTAAGGTTTAATGTAGACTCCCAAGAAAGATCCATCTTTAGCTACACTAGCTGCATGTCCGGTCAGTAGTCAGTTGCCAGTTTGTCAGTTCAACACTTTAGTCCTGTTTGAAAATATCTTGACAACTACTGGATGAATTGCCATGAACTCTGTCACAAAGCAGACAGTCATGAGCCCCAGAAGGTGAATGCAGTGACTTTGATGGTCTCCTGACATTTCATCCAGTACCATCCTACTGGACAAAATCCAAAACTGGCTCGACACTTTAGCTTGAAGCTTCAAGATAACTTTATTGTCTGTCACAAGGCTCAACAATAACTAACGGTAAACATTTAAAATAACATCAAAAACACACACGCACACACACATACACACATACAGAATAGGACTAAAAAACTGTTGAAACTACAGTGGAAAAGAACAGTGTTAAACAGGTGAGGGTACAGTGCCAATAATCTCAGGATCTTAAATACTAGTGACCAGGTTCCAAGCTGCCTCAGCTGGATTTTGACATTTATGCTGATGCATCTTTGTCAGTTCTGTTTGTTTGCTGCATGCGTGAAGATGCATGTGGCATAACAATGGGTGTGGCCGTTTACTACATCTGGATGCTGAATATTAAGTGAATATGTATATTAGTGTCTCTTTGAAAAAGAGAAGAGAAGGTGAAAAGATATTAATCATATCCAAAGTAACAGTTGGACATGTGTCCCAGTTGAAGTGTTTAGTCAGTTTATCAGGCAGTCTTTTTTTTCATAATAACAGTCTATACTTTTCTATATATTATACTTTGGTTTTCCAGCTGTATGTACTGTAGAGCATCATTGTATTTTACCTAATTTACACTACACATCATATCCCATTATACACTTTCCATTTTGTTACCCTGTTAAGGTGCTGTACTTAGTAATTAAAAAAAAACTGTTATCCGTCGTAATGCAGAATTGTTGACTTCTTCCCTCAGTAGGTAGTGATACCGTATTTAATTACTACCTCGAATGTACAACAAAATTCAATTGTAATTTGCTGCAATCTGTGTCATTAATAATTATTGACATGGGCATGCTTAAGGTAAACTTCCACAGTAAGTTCTCTAAAGTGAGACTTTTGGTTGTGTTTGTTTTCACAGATAGGCTCAATAAATTAGTCCTCTCGACCTCACAGTCATTCATTTTTTAGGAACCCTTGTATCTATAAATATTTTATGATGCAAATTTTATTGCTCTTCTGGGTGTGCTTTTGAACCAAGGACCTTTATCACATATCTTCAATATTTTCATAAACTAAGCCAAACAGACTGCCTTGTACTATAGTTCCCTTTCTGATATTGTATGAGAAATAACCAAAATTTGTTGACCAAAGTGTTCAGAATCAAAAAAGATTTGATGCTGATCCATATATCCACCACAGTAGAAACTTAATGAAACACGTCCTTAGATCTATGCAAAATTTAGACCTATGCCAACCCATCATCTATTTCAATGAATCCCCTGGCTTCTTGACGAAACTAGATTATATAAGTGCCATATACTTTTACTGGGATACAGCTTTAAAACTGTTTAACTCAAAAGTCAAAAGAAGCAGAAACAAAATAGTGAGAGAAAAAGAGGGAGTGAGGCAGAAAATAAGACTTTTTTTCCATATTTCCCAGCAACCAGCTCCGTTTGATGGCAGATCAGAGAAAACTGTGAGGAGACAGGTAGTAAAATACAGCAGAAAACAAAAGCTTCACTTCTGTCTTTTCTCGTTCCGTTTTCATTGTTGATGAACTTCTGCTCAACCTCATCTATAACTGTAACTACAAACTACCTCTGTATCTCTTACTCTCTTGCTTGCATGTGTGTTTGTGTGTGGGTGTACACATGTAAGTATGCATCATGGTTTTGCATGTGTTGAACAACCCAGTGTTTTTTTTCCTTTTTTGCATAGTCAAACATTTTATACTAAACATTAATTTATATATTAGCTACTAAAGTAATAAAATTATCATCATATTAGCTTCAGATTCCAGAACTCATCTGATGTCTAGTTTATGAAATTGTAAACTGAGGCTATAGTTTATATGTACAGTGTAAAGTAGGACAGCACACATATTACATGCTTCAACCTTGAGCTTCTGTCAGTCACACACACATGGAAAACGCATGCATGCACATGTTTGATGCTGGTGACAGGTGTCCAGAAGCACAAGGATAACTGTGGCACTTCCATGACTCTGGTCAGTTCAACACATTCTGACAGCACAGGGATCTTTTTTTAATAGCTACAGACCAGTGATGCAAGTTGAAAACTGAAGGAATAATGAAGAAAGTTAACTGTGATTTAAATGCAAAATGTAAATCTTTCTACAGCTTCTAAAGTGCCAACTCTATTAAATCAGGACACCAATATTATCTTGCCAAGATTGTCCCAGCCTTAACTGGCCTGCCTGAACACATGCATTAGCTTAGACTTAAATTTGGACACACAAAATTGGAATAGTGCCAACATGAAACCAAGGCCACCAACCTACGTTTATTACTGACCTACTGCGGCAATATCCATATACGCTAACCAAATCAGGGAAAACATGGAGCAGGGACAGTAAAGGTGGTGACTGTAATTATGCAAATATCCAATATTCCACTGAAAAATAGATACAGGGTGAGGTAAATCATGTGCTTTAGCCATAAGCTCCTTCTGGGCAAAAAAAAAAAACAGCACCTGTGACCTGTTCATTGTCCATATATGAAGGGCAAAGGTTTGTCATAACTGTTTGAACATTACTTTGTTGAAACACTGAAGATTACTCAATTATTTTCTGATTATAGTACAAACAGAAGGATTAAGTTGAAGTCTTGTACCGGCAGATGAAGGAAATAAGTACCCCTGAGGGAATCAAGCCAAGATGAGGAGGCAGGTCTGGCAGATTAAATCCAGTTCATGCAGACCTTGAGTGTCTAGTACTGTTTATTATGACTTTTTTTTTTTTTTGATACATAGACAGCTGGCAGAAAGATTCTGCCCACATTTGAAATATACACATACACACTTGTTGAACTGAAGTGGGTTTATGATCCACCTTTAGAGAGAGCAAAGACATGGAGGCAGATTGCTATGAGCAGCAGCCATGACAGAACAGCAGTATAGCAGACGAAAAAGAGTATTAGAGAGACATATGCATAATACTTGTTGCAACAATATATTACAATACAGTGCATTGTGATAGTTTCTATGATATCACACGATAGGCATTTGGATATCACATTGTAGCCATGCTGTTACAGCCCAAATAACAAAGGCAGTGTTGTGCAAATATGTTGTATGATAATGCTTGATGAGTTCAGTTCCCACTCAGCTGTGCAGAAACAGTATAATATCACTGACCTCTGCATTATACGACAGTAAAATAAAGGTAATCTACAACCATCTCCATATCACAGCTGTTTAAAGCCTGCCTGCTCTTTGGTGAAACGATGAGACTCATTTCATTTCACAATGTGCACACATCAAAT